ATGTTTTTCAAAGATTTTAGCGATGAAAAAATGAGTTATAATGATTCAGAATCTGATACCACTATTACTGATCTCATTCGCGAAGTGAGCCAAAACGAGGATTAATTTCGTAACACTCGATAGAAATTAAATGTATGAATGTAGAATTTCTTCGTTGTTTATTTGTTGTACTATTTTTATACGTAATATTTTTTGAATTAGATTTGTCTGTAAATCTGAAATAAAATGTGTTCAAACCAATAATTGGCAAATATTTGAAACACAGTTACATATATATACATGCATTTAGGCATATTTTCCAATAGGACAAAACAGATTTTGTAACTTAAAATAAGTAACATCTATTTACGATATGCAATATTTATTGAAATATTTGGTTACATTATAATGGATTATTTTTCATAATCTATATCACAAAATATTGATTAAACATATTTAGAATTATTAAATATATCAGTTCCAAGTACTTGGGAGAGTATTTGCCAATAGTCATCATCAAGTGGTAAAAATATTGATACTCATAAATTTTTAGCACAATTGTTTTTAGTACAAACTTAAGTTTAGCAGTGTACAAATGTTGTCTAAATTGTTTGGTAATAAAATAAATTGGTAAACACTCAAATCTAATTAAAAAGTTAGCCAAATTGTGAACTATGGTGGCAGTGTCGATGTTGAAAATTATTACAAACCATAAATTGACTAGTATTTTGTTCTTGTACTATTATCAATCGTATTCAATATTTTACCAAACCATCAAGAAACTGTGTCCTTTATGCTCGTACGACACTACGATCAGTAAATTGGACAACCACATCTTTCACAACCATATTAGGTAAACTTTGGACTAAGCTAGCCAAAGTATCAACGCCATTTGGTGGTGGTCTGTCGAATGGGAAGCCCATAGCTCTTTTGTCTGGATATAAACGGTCTCTGATTCCACAGTAACTTGAAGAATCATTGCATGTACCAGTGATAGTTTGGTCAACCTGAAAAGGTAAATAGTTAAAATAATGTAAATTTGTAATTGACTTAGATAAATACTCTAATAATGATGAACATTATATTACTACTAATTTCCTATGATAACTTACTCTGTCATCATTGTAATTGGACACCATAACGAACAGTTCATATTCCATGCCCTGAGGTGTGCCTTTGGGAATGAGTAAATGATGAGGCCATCCACAGCCACAGAAGTTGAAAGCAGCTTCAGCATCTGTACCAGTAGCTGGACGGTCGTTTAGGTTGCGGAATGTCCTTTCGAATGGAATGGTTACGGAAGATTCATCGGATCGTCGAGGAATTGTGTTCATACCAGGTCTCACTAAGATAGGTACATATCAATTTTAATTTTGTGTTTGGATAATATATAATTGTATTATATTTAATTGCAATATAGATGAACAGAAAATATTTTGAATATCAAATACTTACGAGATACAGTAAATTTATCAAGTTCAATGAAAAGAGTCCTTTGATCACGTAGCAAGATTGGTAAACCACGTTCGTCCTGTTTTGGTGCCATAAAGATCCTAACTGTACCCATTCTTGGAGCGCTATTTGAATTGTTTACTTGGATGCGATAGGTGAATGGTTGATGTTGCAAATGCGTAAATCTTGCAAAGACATTACCACGTGGAGTGAAGTCCATTCCTAATAAGAAAAATAGTATGTTAAAATTATGGCACCAATTATAAACATTGTGCAAAATCTTAAGTTCAATAAATTATTTTTGTTCAAGTTAAAAGTAAATTGATACATACCGCGAGACAAGTCTACGTCAGATTGTTGCCAGAATGTCTGGAAGCGATTTGGTTGAGAGTTCTGCACAATGACATCGACTGATTCAATAGAAACTCCTTGATAGCCCAACTATAATAGAATTTTCATAAATTTACATTTTATTATTGTTCAAAATTGTTTTTAACATTATTTAAAATTTTTTACTTGGGGTGCAGTATAACGTGGTAAAGTTCCTTTATGCTCTTGGAACACATCATCAACAAATGCGTGCCAACGATAGAAAACTGGATCTCTCATGGCAGTTGCAGAATCTCCCATTACACCATAAGTTTCCTTTTTCGTAAAATATCCAGATTATAAATATTATAAGAGTAAAATCTAATATTTTGTAGAAATTTAATTAAAGCTTTACCAAATGTCTATGGTCAGGATCGTGCGAATAAGAGATGAGAACGTGGCCCATGTTGTGCATATCTCCATATAAACCTCGATTTGGTGATAATATAGATGATTCCATCATGTTTCCGAGAGTATCTATACCAGTAGCTTCATCAAGAACTATGCGGTTGCCTTGTCTCTGAAAATTATGATAAAAATATCATATCTGCATAAACATTAAAAAATGTAGTTAATTCTATTGTAACTCACATCAATAACAAAACCTTGATGAATAGCTTCATAAAATCTATCCCTCCATCTTTCCAAATCACTAACATCCAATTTAATCTGATCTACCTCCCTGCGTAAATCTTTAATGGTAGTGTTAACAAATCTTGGAGGCCACGCCCTGCTTGCTACCATCGAGTCCATTTTTGGGAAATATCCTTCTGGAATAGGTTCTCTAAGATTTTCTAAGCGTTTAACACGGGGTAAATGATTGCTAAGACGTTCAGCATTATAACGAGCTATTATTTGTTGATGCATATAGTAGAACAATTCTCCACGCCTGTCTTTAGCTACTAAAGCACGGTTGCTGGCTTCGAATGGATAAACAAGATGCCAATGCCAATGGTGCAAATTTAGACCAATGTCTTCTCGAAAATAGGCGACGCGATGTTCTTCTTCTAAATCGGAAGCTGTGTAATCTTTCGGGATCACAATTGGAACCTGAAATAAATAATAAGGAATAAATATAAAGAGCTTTAGAAAATATTTCACAAGTTAACTTATTAATAAATTATTTTTATTTAATAATATGTAAATATGATAATGACTTACCCTTGAGCCTTCTGGTACAATAGTCGCTTCCTCTCTAGCCCTCTGAAACACAGCGCTATCCATGAATTTATCCGGGAACGATTCAGCAAAGTTTGGAATTGGTACATCCTTGGTATCTTCTCTGTGTAAAAGAGCCACTGATAGTGCATAATTGAATAGATAAGGATTCAAGCGATCTCTAGCATAAACAGCAACGGACTGCAAATCTTCCAAATTACGTAAACCCATGAAAATATCAATCAAACGTCCAGCAATCATTCTATGCTTGGGTATAAATAATGAGAAGTTTTCACGACGACCCAACTGCATAGGAACGCTGAGATCAGGAACAGAAATGTTCCTAACTGGTACACGATTTCCGGCTTCTTCTCCAAAACGATTTTGAAGAGCAGCTCCAATGTCCTTGTATTTGTCAGCGAAATAGTTATCAGGAATCTCGAATACTGTTTTATCAGCACCCTTGGCCATGAACACTGGTTCAGTGGGCCTATCGAACAGGAGAGCCAAATTCTTCTTATGGTCCGACATATTCACGATTGGTATTTCGCAAAGGAAATTTAAAACTGTAAATATTTAACCTGGTAGTTATTCTTGTAAAGCAACAAGAATGAATGATACAATTTCAAAAAAACCTTTCCTATTTATACTAAAATTTTATAATAAAAAGCCTCCGTTCTATCAATGATAAGCCAAAAAATACCACAATACATGTTCCTGTTGCGGTATACAGTTACCTCAAAGATTAAAGCATTGTGATATAGAAATATCAATTGATAAAAAAATTAATTCACAAATATAATTTATAATTGAATGCGTTATTTTATAAAGTTTTTGGGTGTAAGTGGCATTTTGCCTTGAGAGAATTTGCATAAACTTTCCGATACGAACTAATCAATAATTAGTGAGATTTAGCTATTTAGATATATATATATATCTAAATTATAATTTTCAATTGATTATTTCAAAAATAAAGTTTTAGCTTTTAACAAAAACCAATTGATGTCCAATTAATTTGATGTTTTTCAAACAGACTTGTAATATCTCTAATTGTATTAGAGGATATGTATGTGAGGCTATAATTGTTCTTTGGTCAGCGTTCATTAAAAAACTGCAGCACCGAATTCAAAAATTCAATTTTTACAACTTTTTTACTTATTTAATTTCTTTACAATTCGCAGATAAGTGCAAAATTTAAAAAAAGTTTCAATTACATCTGTTGGGAATCTCACTAATTATTTTTTGGTGATTATTTGCTGTGCCGTTTCTTTGTATTTAATTGTTGAAAAAATGTTTTTTAATTAAAATTTTTAGATATGTAATGAAATATCTAATATAATATATAATGACTCCTAGCCTAGCTAGATGTATCCTAGCCTAGTAGTCCGTATAGAAACCGAATATATAAATGGTATATATTGAATTATACATCCTTAGAATCCTCTACACAATAATGATATATATATATATATATATATATATATATACATTTATGATTTATGATTTATGATTTATGATCTATGACTTATAAATCCTTAGATGTATCCTAGCCTAGTAGTCCGTATAGAATATATAAATGTATATATTGAATCATCCTCCTAGAATCCTCTACACAATATTAGAATATAATATATTCATGGTCCTTGTAGTTAGTATGAAAATTAAAAGTAGACAAGTATATATTGAGTTTTACATCCCTAAAAGATAAGTCCTAGTTATCTTACAATTAGTATGGAAATTGAATCTATAAATGTATATATTAGTTTATACATCATTAGAAATGTCAGTCTTCGTAGTTAGTATAGAAATCGAATAAAGAAATATACATTTTGAATCATGCTTCTCTAGATGTATAGATATATATCCCTAGATATCCTGAAACTTTTTTCAAATTGCCCGCGCAATCACTACAATCACTTGCGATACTAGCGTCCTCTTTTATTTAAAAGTCATAAAACATTTTCATATGATTTTATCTAAACTTTTCTAACCTAAAATACATCAAACAAATTTTTTCATAATTGTACAAATATATTTTTTATTTTTTTAATGTCAATAGACCAGTGCATTCAATCAAATGTTACCAATTCTTTATAAATCATTAAGATGGAGAAGTTCCATGAGCAAATTTTTACAAACAGTAGATTTTACATTAATTACTAACAGAGGCAAGAAAGATGATTCGAATCTTTCTTCACTTTTTGTACCAGTACCGGTTAAACCAAATCCTGATGATATTAACATTGGAGCTGAAATTAGTGGACAGTTAAATAAGGCTGATTTATTAAAAGTTTTAAATAAATTTTACCAAAGAAAGGAAATTAAACAATTGTGTTTAGAAAATGGCTTGGACAGTATGTACAAACACTTTATATTGTTGCTTTTACTACATTTAATTTTGCATCACTTTATAATTTACAGATTATTTACAACATCAGGCCTATGTTAGTTTTAGACGCTATTGTTTAGAAGCTGAAGCTTTGCCAGTTGATTTTCACATAGCAGTTAGTGATGTATTGCAAGGTGAGATAGGAGTAATATTTACAATTATCTTTTTTATTTTAAATACTAATTTGTTTCAGGTGCTGGTCACGTTGATGACATATTACCATACTTCCTTAAACATGCACGAAGAATGTTTCCGCATTTAGAGTGCATGGATGATCTTAAAAAAATATCAGACTTAAGAACACCTGCAAATTGGTAAATGTTCTTTCATTGTTTTCAATATACAAATAAAAATAAATTAAAGTAAAGAGAGCAAATATTAAAAGAAAACCTTAAACAACAAATATTTTTTTACATAATATAATACCTACTAAAATTTTATAGGTACCCATCAGCAAGAGCTATAAATCGCAAAATAATATTTCATGCCGGTCCAACAAACTCAGGCAAAACATATCATGCTCTTGAAAGATTTATGAATGCTAAATCGGGTGTGTATTGTGGTCCTCTAAAATTACTTGCCACTGAAGTATTTCATAAATGCAAAGAAAGAGTAAGTTTTGAAATAATTTTGAATTATAATTTGTTGTATTGAGAATACTTAGTAAAAACCATATTATAGGAAACGAATTGCGATTTAGTGACGGGCGAGGAAAGACAATATGCAAAAGGAGAAGAACCTAGTGACCATGTTTCTTGCACCGTTGAAATGACTTCAATTAACACACCATGTATGTATATATTTTTCACTTTCATTCAAGATATTCTTATTTTTACTTCTTCAATAATGAAATATATTTCAATTAAATTCTCTTTTAATTATGAATATATTTCAATTATAACATTATTTTCATTATTCTTTAATAATATTGAAATATAATATGTTTATTTTGTAGATGAGGTAGCAGTTATCGATGAAATTCAGATGATTAAAGATCCTGGACGTGGCTGGGCTTGGACAAGAGCCTTTTTAGGTTTAGTTGCTGATGAAGTACATGTTTGTGGAGAACCAGCTGCAATAGATTTAATTAGAGAATTGTGTACAACTACTGGTGAAGATCTAGAGGTATAAAATAATGTGTATTCATTACAATAAAAATGTTAAACTTTCAACACATTTTATCAGGTTAGAAATTATAAAAGACTTACGAATCTCACAGTAGAAGATTCAGCTTTATGTTCCTTGGATAATGTACAACCTGGTGATTGTATAGTTTGTTTTAGTAAAAATGACATATATTCGGTTTCAAGAGCAATTGAATCTAGGTAAGCTCTTACTATTCTTGAGAAAAGTAATTTAATGTAATTTCATAAAAAATCATTTCAATAGAGGTCGAGAAGTTGCAGTTATATATGGTGGTTTGCCTCCTGGTACTAAATTAGCGCAGGCAGCAAAATTTAATGATACCAAAAATAGTTGTAAAATTATGGTGGCAACAGATGCTATTGGAATGGGACTGAATCTGTAAGTTTGTATAATTTTTTGTCAATAAATAATTATATATAATGTTATAATATCTTTTCATAGGAGTATTAGAAGAATAATTTTTTATTCTTTAATTAAACCGTCTGTAAATGAGAAAGGTGAAAAGGAAATGGATACAATATCTGTTTCACAAGCCCTTCAAATAGCAGGTAAGCATAACATAATTATACATTTACATTTTACTTTTTCATTATATATTTTAGCTTTTTTTTGTAATTAAGGTCGAGCCGGGCGTTATGGAACTCAATGGGAGCACGGGTTTGTTACTACATTAAAACCTGAAGATTTATCAACATTAAAATCGTTGCTTGCCTCCACACCAGACACAATAACACAAGCCGGACTTCATCCAACTGCAGATCAAATAGAACTTTATGCATACCATTTGCCAAATTCAACATTAAGTAATTTAATGGTAAGAATATTAAGATGATGTACAAAATTTGAGTGTTATAGATACAAAATAAATACTTTTTAATGAGTTCTATATATAATCAAATATAATTTTTTACTCTAGGATATTTTTGTATCACTTTCTACAGTGGACGATTCATTATATTTCATGTGCAATACTGAAGATTTTAAATTTTTGGCCGACATGATACAACATGTTCCACTGCCTTTACGGGCGAGATATATCTTCTGCTGTGCTCCTATAAACCGGAAGATGCCATTTGTATGCACAATGTTCCTTAAGGTAAAATTGAATAGCGCATAACAATTTGATCTTCTAAAATTTTGTATTTTAATACGTTGTTTACATTTCAATAGTTTGCAAGGCAGTTTTCAAGAAATGAACCTTTAACATTTGATTGGTTGTGCAATCATTGTGGATTTCCTTTTGCGCTTCCCAAAACAATTATTGATTTAGTTCATCTAGAAGCTGTTTTTGATGTTATGGATTTATATTTATGGTTTAGGTATGAATAATTTATAAAACTGATTCAAATGTAGATGTAGATGATGTAACATTTGTAATTAATGTTTCAGTTATCGTTTTATGGATTGTAAATGTAAATGTAGATGATGTAACATTTGTAATTAATGTTTCAGTTATCGTTTTATGGATTTATTTCCTGATGCTAATTTAGTTCGGGATACACAAAAAGAGTTAGATGCCATCATTCAACAAGGTGTTTTCCAAATAACACGTTTACTTAAAAATTCTGAAAATGTAATAAGCACAAATACTCCTGATGAAGATTCTATATCAATTAATCATAGAAGAAATAATTATTTAAGAGGTATTACAAATCTCGGAAATTTTCTCAACATGGTTATGTTTGTCAAATATTGCATGATAGTATATTTTTAACAGAACCATCTTCACCAAATGTTGGCAAGGGTCGTTTAACCGAAAGATTGCTGGCTCAAGGATTACTCACGCCTCACATGTTACAAGAATTAAAAAAGGAGTGGCAAGGTTCTGCAGATAAAGGCAGCTCATCACAAGATAATAATTCTCCTCTTCTTGACAAAAAAGGAAAACGAAAAAGACGGACAAAGTAGGTTAAATATTACATAGTTGTTACAGATTGAAGTATAAGATTTAATAGATAATTTACAATTTACAATTATTTCTGCAATTTAATTATATTAATATCAAACATATATATTTCAAATGCTATCTTTTTGATCTTCTGAAAATCTTTTAGAAATATACATAAGAAAAAGAAATACAAGTGGTATTGAACAGAATATTATATCTTAAAAAAAACATCAAAATTGCAGTATTGTAAAGCTTTATAGGTATTTTTTGTATTAATTTATATTCAAATGATATTGTTGTTTACTTTTGTAAATATGTATAGAATTTTAGATGTAATTTTAAAGAAAAATTATAATAAAAATATTTTATTATATTATATTTTCTTGCTTTGTGATTAATAACTGCATATGTAGTAATTCATACAAAAATTATGCAATTGTGTAATCAAAATATGAAAACAAGACTCAAAATATTTATTTTTCAAATATGTTTGTTTATAAAGCAATTCAAATGGTTTTTATAACTTTTCCGTATTATTATTTATTAAAGAAGCAAATATATAATATAAATAGTATAATAATATAAAACATATTGTTTCTCAATGATTTTCTTCTTGAACATAAAAAATTATAGTGAGCGTTAAGCCAAACTTTGAGAATGTAATTATTGACTCAATGGAAGATAATTAAACATAATCATTACAGGATTATTACTAAAAAAAAAAATACTTGAATCGATTTTTTCAATATTTCTTGTAAAGACACGTGCAAGGTCGCCATAGATAAGTGCTCACGAATGTGCTGATGTGTTCGTTCGTGGTTGATCCACAAACTAGCTGACTCAATCTTTGTATTATTGTTATATCTGTCAAAATCCAAGCAACAATTTTTGTGAAATTGGGACGAACGAAACGTATTTATTAAAAATGAGAGCCCTTGCGGTTTCTTTAATAAGTTTAACTTTAACAGCAGCTGTAATCGGCAATGCATATTATCAAAAAAAGCAATTTTATCCAAGTGTGGTGTATATCACAAAAACAAATGCTAGTATGGCTGTAAGTGAATTTGATTGATCGACAAAATTGTGATTCGTGATTGATTCTGTCACGATATTTTATTTTAATACATTTGTTTAACTATGATTTTTGTTAATAATAAATTCTGTGTGCATTATTTTGATACTAACATCTTAGATAAAGCAGAACATGTTTCTAATTTCTTTTTTATAAATGAACAACTATTTTATAATTAATCCTCCTCTCAGTATGAAAAACAATTTTTTCTACCTTTTGATCTTCTGAATTTCAGGTGATATATGTACAAGCATTTATTTTGGTGATGCTCATGGGAAAATTAATGCGCAAAGTCTTTTTTGGGCAATTAAGAGCAGCCGAATTTGAACATTTAATGGAAAGATCTTGGTATGCAATAACAGAAACCTGTCTAGCATTCACAGTTTTTAGAGATGATTTCAATCCAAAATTTGTGGCATTGTTTACGGTATTATTATTTTTAAAATCATTCCATTGGCTTGCAGAAGATCGAGTTGACTATGTATGTTATTCAAATTTAGTTTTTTGAAATAACTTGCCTAAATTTTTCTGCATTTTATATGGTTATTATTTTTTTAGATGGAGAGAAGTCCTATTATAAGTTTATTATTTCATATCCGAGTTTTGGGTTTACTAACATTGCTAGGAGTTCTAGACGTTTATTTCTTGAGTTCTGCTTACCAATCTACTGTAACCAAAGGGGCATCAGTTCAATTAGTTTTTGGATTTGAATATGCTATTTTGTTGACTATGGTTGCAAATACAGCAATAAAATATTGCTTACATGCTGCTGATCTTCGGTAATTTAATACTATTATTTTGAGACCTCAAAAAAGAAGTACTAACTTTTATTAAATATTTCAGATCTGATTTACCATGGGATGGAAAAGCGGTACTATTATTATATACTGAGTTGATTGTTGGATTTATTAGAGTGTTATTATATTTAGCATTTGTTGCTATTATGGTTAGAATATATACTTTACCACTCTTTGCCTTCAGGCCAATGTATTATACAATGAGGTAATGCTCATGAATTATTGCTTTGTACTTTTAAGAAATTATTTTAAGTTTCAATTCTTTTACATAGGAACTTCAAAAAAGCATTTAATGATGTTGTACTATCTCGAAGAGCTATTCGTAATATGAATACTTTGTATCCTGATGCCACAAGTCAAGAGCTAGCAGATGCAGACAATGTTTGCATTATATGCCGGTAACACAATATTCCTGCTATTCATAGAGAGCTATAGAAAATAATACATTAACATAAATATTTTTTTTTTATTTTCTTCAGGGAGGAAATGAACAATAATGCAAAGAAGCTTCCCTGCAATCACATTTTTCATACAGCTTGTCTTAGATCATGGTTTCAGAGGCAACAAACATGTCCAACATGCCGACTTGATATTTTGCGTCCTGCACCTACAAACAATGCAGGACAGACCACACCTGCAGCACAACAAGGAGAGAATGCTAATACACCAGCAGCTGAACCACAAGTGCATGCAGCTCAAAACAGAAATCAGACAGATGCAGGTTATTATCCAATATTTTCTGTATTATAATTTTGAGGAATCCTGCATTTATGTACATAATTCATTTGTTTTAGCAGCACCCATACCTAATGCATTTAGTTTTCCACCTGGTTTTCCAAATTTAATAGGGTTTCCAAATTTGCCTGGTATGCCTAATTTACCTGGAATAAATAATTTGCCAGGTAACAATTCTGGAAATATTCCAAATCTTAGTGGTTTTCCAATGCCACCATTTGGGGCTGTGTTCACACCGCCTCCAGTACCACCCAAGGACCTTGCTACTCTTTCTGATGAAGAAGTGAGAGCTATGGAAGGTCATGAAAGGTGTCATGTTGAAGCAAGAATTAAGGTAATATTTGTTCTAAAATTTTAGTCTATTTAGAGCATAAGTCAATAATTAAATAATTTTTAGTACATACGAGAAATTCAACTGATGTTAGATACATCCATTGCTCTTATGAATAACTATCAAACAATAGTATCAAGGCTGCCTCCTTATATACCGGAAAATCTTGAAAAACAGTCAGATGATGTAAATGAATCTACACAAGCTTCAAGCAAAAGTAAATCTAGTATAAACGATCCAGGTCCTTCTACATCAAAGATTAATGAACCAAGTACAAGCAATCCAACATTAGTAAATGATACATTAGAGCAAACAATTCCTTCAGGGCCAAATGATGAAATAAGAAGACGACGTTTGAGACATTTTGAAAATAACCAATAAAACAATTTTATAGAATGTATGAACGAAATTGGTGACATTTTATAAATATTAGGTTTTATTAATAATTAAAATTATATAATATATATATATATATATATACCAAAATGTACATTTATAATATAATATATTGTGATATCATGTTCTTTATCGTTTAGTGAAAAATCTATGTGCTTTTGATATTTCTCAAAACTATTACAAAGTTGTAATTAATTTAATTACAAAATAAAGTGTATTTAACAATGCATCTGCAAAACGATGAGAATAACAACATTAGTTTCAGAAGCATTTGAGTTACACAATTTACTTACGGGTAATCTTCATACGTTTGTAAATATTTATTTCTTTGCATAATATTGAAATAAGTATGCTATGAAGGCTATGAGCATGTCCCAGACATCCTTCCTTACAATACATACATTACCTTATTATTATATTGTCTAGGCCTTACCTTATAAATATACCATATTCTAATATGATTCTAATTTCGAATATTGTCTAGGATATTATTATATTGTCTAGGATTGTCTAGAGCAAGTCTAGGGTCTGTCTAGACTAGAGAGATCAAAACTCGTCAACTTGTCAAAATGCGTTGATAGTTTTGCGATTTTTATGTTGGCTCCACTGATATTCAAGGTTTACTTCATTATGGATTATGAAATT